TATATACTTTGAAACCAATTTTAGAAAAGATTGATTCTAGGTTTTTAAATTCTGTGTACTTTTATTACACAGAGCTTCTGTATTATTCAGTGTTGAGTTTAAGAATTAATTTATCTTAATGAATCTGACTTAAAAAGCATTTAACAATCTCAAAATGCTGAGAAGACGTTTAAAGGATGTTACTAGACTACTGCTTTCATCTTTGAGGAATTATGGAGTATTTAGGATATTTCAGAAACTTCTCATTTTCAAAATGGAAGAAGCTGCACTATATAAACTGTTGATCCTTGAACTGGACATGAGTTCAGTTAAAATGAATATTTTCCATTAAGACTTAATATTTTCCATTAAGATATTAGAATAGATTATTAAAGTTAAAGCTAATTTGTAGATTAATGCGATATCATTGTCTAACAGCATTATTAGTAAATTTTTAATTCTAGTAAATGCTGGTAGAGATGGAAAACCTGGGTTAGCTTGCATAGTCAAGGAAGAAAAAAATCTGGTCTCAAACCAGGAGAGGGGAATAGGACAAGGGGGATTGATGATGTAAAAACATTTGAGTGGTTTTATAAAGCAGCTTTATTAACATCTGGGTTGTTACTACTTATGCAACTAACCTTCTTATTTCTACCAAATGCATTTCCTAATTAAGAAATGCATGCTTAAGTACTTGACTTAAAAAATGACCTTTCCTAGCAAAAAAGATCAAATTTGCATGATCATTGCAGGAAATTTGGAAAGTACAGAAAAAGTATGAAGGTGGGTAATAAAGATTAATCACAAACAGTACCCACAGAACATTTAAAAATATTTTGGCATATTTCTGTCCCTTCTTTTCTTTTTACATAGTATATATGAAGGCACTTTAAAAAGCTCATAGGAAGATTTGAATTATCTTTTAATCTAGGTTTCCACGAACTTTTTATTTATTTATTTATTTTTTTAAAAAAGATGACCGGTAAGGGGATCTCTTAACCCTTGGCTTGGTGTTGTCAGTACCACGCTCACCCAGCAAGCGAACCGGCCATCCCTATATGGGATCTGAACCCGTGGCCTTGGTGTTATCAGCACCGCACTCTACCGAGTGAGCTACGGGCCGGCCCATCCACGAACTTTTTAAAGTACTCTTGTATATGCCTCCTTTTATGTATTGTACATTTTTTTTTTTTTTTGTCTTTTTGTCTTTTTCCGTGTCCGGCAACGGATCGCAACCCTCAGTGTTGCCCCCGTACCGGACCAGGGACCGGCAACGGGATTGCAACCCTCGGTGTTGCTCCCGCGCCTCGCTCAGCCAGTGAGCGGGAACCGGTCTGTATGTGGGATCCGAACCCTCGGGCGGGAGTGCCGCCGCGCTTCCCAAGCGGCGCACTATCCATTGCGCCACCGGGCCGGCCCTATGTATTGTACATTTTTATAATACTGCTTTTTGACTTAAACCTGTTTAGCATAATTTCCACATTATTTAAAGTTATTTGTAAATTTTTAAAAGACTGCAATTGCTGGTAATTTGAATCATGGGTTGTTAAAAGCCTGTTAGAAAAATATATCTGGAATACTAGAGTACTTCAGAAGTTTGTGGAAAGAGTTGTAATCTATTTTCCCATGAACATTTTGAAGTATCCTTATATAACCATCATTCTCCCCTTAATGAAGATTTCACTATAAGGTACCTTAATCCAATGTAGAGTAGTGTGACTTAAGATCTTTTGGTTATCTCTAAAACTTTGGGAGATCTGCCCTCTTCAATAAAATTTTAAACAGCAAATCCCACTAGAATATAAGCTGTGAGGGCCATATCTGTTAACTGTTTGTCCCTTGACGTACCTGGTACTTAGCAGACAGTAAACAGATGAAAAAATGATTTGTAGTGACTGTTAATTCTTTAGAAGCATATATTCCTAGGGATGGGATTAATGGATCTTTATGGGTGCATCTAATTTATTGTCCATATCTTGATTAAATCCTCAGAGTAAGTATATAGGTATTGAAAGTTATTCCATTAACTTTTAGCCAAGTGTTCGATGTTGGGGTCATTATATTATTATTATTTTAACAAGAAATTCATGATTTTTGAAGCAAATTTAGAAACTATACCATAATCAAATAAAATGAGAAATAAAATCATTCTTAAACTCAAGGATGACAACCAGGGTTAGCATCTTTATATTTAGTGTGTCTGAATGCTTCTCCATCAGCCTTTTTAAATGAGGTTCTTCGAGAGAAAGCCTAATACTCCAAGGCATTTTTCATATGTATGAATTCTGTACATCTAGGTTCTTGTTAGCTGTGTATCATACCTTGTGAAAATTGAGGAAATAGTTTTTAAAATCCATTTCTGTTCTGTGGTTTAAAAGGGTACCCCCCTGGAAGAGGACATCAGTTCAGTGTCTGTTTTGGTGTTTTTTCCCTATGGTGCTGGTGGCACGTAGAGCCATCCCCTCTTCCTCCCTCCCCCTGTAACTTCTCATTAAAACCAGTGAGATTTTACCTGTATACTATCGATATATTATGTGTTTGTGAAAAACAGTTGCTGAAAAACTGGCTTATGTCTCCACTGGTTATAATAGCAAACCTTAATAACCAGCAGTAGTATCTGAAATCAGTTAGTCCTTTTTGTAGGTTACTGTTTTAATTCCTCTATTAGTGTTCTCAGATTTCTCTGGCACCCACACTTACAGCTGAAAGGCTGTGGTGATTCTCAATGGCTACTGTTTGTTAATTTTCATTGCTTAGTCTTAAAGAAGTAAGAACTACTGTTTGTAAAGATATAATTTAGAAACCAAGATAAATCCCTGATAGACTTTCTTGAATTTCAGAAAGGTTAGGAAGGAAGAGGAGCAGCTGCTTGTTAAATAACTAGGGGTTTTACATATCAAATAGTAGGGGTCATGTATAGATGATGTGTTATACTACCTGTTTTATTACGTACATAAATGTGTACATAAGACATTTGTATATGTCATTCATGAGAACTAGTTTGTTTTGATCCCTTGAGGATTGGAAGGATAATGGATACTAGACAGTGGTGTCTTTTGATTTGAGTTCTGTCAGTACCATTCAAAGAGATGACAAGTAAATTAATCTTACAAATGTTACTCTAAATCCTGTTCAAGGTTAGGGGTTGGAGTGTGAAGGGGCAGCAGACTTAAAAGCTAAAAGAATGAAATAAAGCATTTTCACTTGTAAAGGATCTGAGATGGTTTAAATTATGAATCTCCATGTAATTGTAATTGGATTAAGCCACCATAATATAATTTTTGGTTTTAAATAACCTCAGGAAAGTTGTATTCTCTTAATTAGTTCCCCTGGTCCTCTTTTGATCTGTGCAGTGGTTTACTGACTAGTTTTATCATCATCACCATCCAATATTATTAAATGTTGTAGCTATATTGTACATTATCACATAAAAAGTAGGTTTAGAGTCATTGGAGTCTATAAAAATATGGTATTGATACTTATGTATTTATAGCATATTATAAATCGATTAAGTACCTGGAAATAAATATTTCCAGAGTTGACTGGATTCTGTTTATTGTCTTTGTATAAAGATATTTATACTTCAATGGTAAATTAAGCTATCCACATTCATCTAGCTAAAGAATGGTTGGGGGCAGAATTTGGAGTTTTGTTTATTTTAGGGGGAATAAATGAGACTCATTTTAATAAAAGCAGTGTTTAAGAAGATGAAGTTACTGATGACAAGGATTGGTTAACGTGACTTGAGAAGCTGAGAAACAATAGAAAATAGGTACTAGGGAGCTTAGGGGATTCTAATCTGCTTGAGGACTCTAAAATAGAGGAGGGTAACTTGGAATTAACGTCCAAGAAGATTTTGTTGCCCATAGTCTGCAAGGAAGATTTGCCTCCCACCTGAGAAACGAGAGTCTAGTACTGTTGAAATAGAATGGAGAGAAGGAAGTTGAATTTCTTTTAAGGGTACGTGCAGTCAGGGATGTGAGTCTCTGAATAGTAATATACTGTTGCTGTGAGATCCTTTTAAGTTGACTGATGCGCTAGGTTCACAGTGAGAGTAGAGAAAGTTTTATCAGTGAATGTTATTTTTAACATTTGCTCACCTGCATGCCTTTTTTTCCCTTCCGGTTTTCCAGGTTTAGGGCAGGATTGGAATTTTGTATATTTCGGTGGGAGTGAGTGAGATGAGACTCTTTTTAATAAAAGCAGTGTGTAAGATGACAGAATTATTACTGGCAAGGAATGGTTAGCATGACGAGAAGGTGAAAAACTTGAGTTTTAGAGGGCTAGCTTTTGGCTATTGGTTTTTGACAAATGGGCTTTTTCTGTTAGAACAAGAGGGAGAAGAACATGAACTCCTTTGTTCAATAGGCAGCGGGTGGCAAGGAAAGTAGCTGGGCACTCTAAAGTAGATGTTTTTAAAATTATGTTGTATTTCAAAACTTGAGTTTTCCCCTTGGTTCCTTTTTCTTTTTTTTTGGTGACTGTGTAATGGTTGTTTACTTAAGCAATTATTTGTTCACATAGCATTTCTTAACCAGGATATTTTATGCAGCTGTCCAGCTGAAATTATCTGTAAGGGAAATAAAACTTCGCCTTTGGGGATGATTTGAGGATGCCACACTACCTCATTTCAATCACATTATATGAATTGCCCATGTACTTTATATCTCTGAAGTTTTTCTCTTTAATTTATTTGTCTGTGCTATTTAAAATGCACAGAACCAGCCCTAGAAAGGTGACCATTATTCCTCATTGATAACATTTTTTCCTGTGATACATTAGTCATGTATACTTGTCCCCTGTGATAGTAACTGACTGAGCTCTGAAAGGTGAAAGTTGATTTGAAGTGGAAGACAGTCCTAGTTTTGTAAAAATTTGTGTGCCTTTTTTTTTTTTTTACAGGAAAGATGAGATACACTGTCAGACATTGGTTGATTTATATGACTGTATACTTGTAATTTGAGATTTTTTTTAATCTCCATACGGAATTATCATTAAAATTTTTGTTTTTGTTTTTTCAGATATTAATCTGGCTGCAGAGCCAAAAGTGAACCGAGGAAAAGCAGGTGTGAAACGATCTGCAGCGGAGATGTACGGGTCAGTACCAGAACACCCTTCTCCGTCCCCTCTACTCAGGTCCGGAACTTTATTATTTATAACTGCATTGTGTCCATCAGTGGGCATCTTCTCTGTTTTCTGGATGTGGGGAGGGCTAAATGTGGTGTGTTTTATCTGTGTAAAAGTAATAATGCTTTATTAATTTGTGTTAATATGCCTCCTTTTTGCCTGTTTACTAGAGAATTATTAGAAATCCTGAGATTTTTGCTATTAAAAAGTAGTTTGATGTTTATAGCATAAAAGAAATCTTCAAGGGCTGATCCATGGCTCACTTGGGAGAGTGTGGTGCTGACAACACCAAGTCAAGGGTTAAGATCCCCTTACTGGTCATCTTTTTTTTTTTTTTTTTTTTTAAAAAAAGTATCTTCAAGAGAAGTTATTTAGCTTCTAAGAAGCTGGGGAGTAAGGAAGGGAAGGAGAGTGGTATAAGAATGTTTAGTTTATTATTGTATTTTTCATTGTTCTTATTTTAGCTTGTAAGTTGTGTGTTGAAATTTTAGTGAACTTTGACCTGAATTACCAATTTGGCCACTGCCTGTCCAGTGGTCTGAGGTGATTGGAATTTAGTGATCTATTGTTTGAATGATTGGGGATTATTCCGTGCTAATCTTGTTGATCTGTCTGTGATTTGTTTGGCATGGTTGGTTTTTTTTGTTTGTTTTTGTTTTTGGTTTTTTTTCCCATCTGCTATTGTGAACTAACGTCAACAGCTCCAAATTAATCCTCTTCGGTATTTATTTTTCAGCTCCTCTTTTGAGTTGGACTATGACTTTCAACGGGATTATTATGACAGGTATGTTGAAGGTGTTTTATTTTGTCTGTTCTGGTAAAAAACTATTTAGTAAGAACCATTTTGTCTTTCTTTTTTGTAGTAATGAAATTTCTCTTGAAGTAATGAACAGCAAACATGTTTTCAAAGTTCTCCCTTTTCACCAAAACAACCCAAAAAATATCTCCCCGCAAATCATCAAGTAAACTAAGTGTGGTGACATTTCTTTTGATTTCAGAGAGTCACTTCATATATTGTCAGGACATTTGAGGACATGAACATTATTTTCTGGAGTACTGGTTTTCACTTTCTTGAGACAATTCAGTTTTGGTTTTGTTTTAATCTGTATGCCAAATAAAAAAGTAGGGACAATTTGGCTTGCCTAATGGTGAAATGGGACTTATTAGCATACCCATGTTCTTTCCATCATTTTTCTATTAAATAGTTAGCTTGGCATTGTAGGGCATCACAGAAAAGTATAAAAATGCTTACCTTAAAAATAGCCTCCTTTGGGCATACCAGCTAATACAGAGTATAATATAATAGGAAGTATATAGTGACTCAATAGAAATTGCTTTAGGAGTTAAAGTGTTAAGATTTATACTGTACATTGGTGGGGGAGTGATGTAGTTCTGAAAGGCAAGATGGTTGAAATAATGGTTATGATTTCTTGTGACTTCAGAACATTAGTGTTTGTTGGAGAGTCATGAAAAATAAAATTGAAAGATGCGTGTATATGGCAAGGTTATGGATGGCTTTGAATGAGATTTAGAACTGATATAGGAATTAGTTACCAGGGAATGGGAGGATATGCTAAAAAGTTATTTACCACATTGACATTCTGATAACATTAGTCTTAATTATCATAAGGAAATTTTAAGTGTATTTGGTTTGCCACATTTAAAATTATGTAGTATATGGAAATACACAGAACACACTATTACATGTATATAGTACACTTTTTAAATTACACAGTATATGGAGCATAGTTTTCATCTTGGAATGCCCATATTCCAGTCACTAGTATTTTTATGTTATTAATGTATATATAACGGTTGAGTCTCTGCTTTTAGAATTAAAGTAGATTCCTTGATTAGGTAATGTTTCACAGAAAACAAACAAACCCAAACATTTGAACTGTGCACATCAATCATGCAAAGGAGCTGGGTAAAGGAGTCAAGTCAGCCATCAAACAGTATGAACATTGACCTGAAAATGTACATTTGAGTGAGAAATACCATGTAGACTACGATAGCTAGCCATTAAAAGGCCAGAAGAATAAGGCTAGAAAAGTAGTTTGGATCTACATTGTAAAGGGCTTTGAGTGCCATTTTAAGATTGTGTGGTTTGAGTCTCTTTAATGCATCATCAAAATGGTTATTTTATTTGTCCTTAAAGATTTCTTTAGATTTTTATAGTTATTTATGTTTCAACATTTATTCTGAAAAACCAATAATTTTTGAACTTTGAAATTCTTAAAAAATGAAAATAGAGGCAGACCTTCCAGTTGAGAATTGATCTGACTGAGTGACTAGAAGGCCCTTAAACCCAGTGATTTTGTCTGAAGCAGCTACATTTTACCCTTTTTGCGCATGTGCAAATACACAGTACCGGTATCCAAACCCTTGACCTTTGTGTTACAACACCACACACTAACCAACTGAGCAACTGGCCAACCCTGGGATTCTTATACAGCTGGTCTTAGGTAGTACAGGTATAATTTTTAAAACTTCCCAAGGCATTCTTATGTCCGGTCAGGGCTGAGAATCATGGATACAGACAACGAGGAAGTGGTTTTATTTCTGTGATTCTTACCTATTTATTTTGTCATGGCTGTTTTCAGAAAAATTCTGATACACCCATACTTTTTTGGTATAATTTCTGGGGTTTCGTAGACTTTTATGAACCTCATGTTTTAAATTATTGACGGTGTATAGTCTACCTTAATGAGAATCATCCTCATTAAAAAGTTTTTAGTCTTCTTGGAAAGGCAGTTAAACTTTACATTTTCACACTGTCAATCAGTAAGTTTGAAAAAAATTGTTTTAAAGTGAGGGACTTGAATAATGTTTTTAAAAGAACTGAGAATCATCCTCATTAAAAAGTTTTTAGTCTTCTTGGAAAGGCAGTTAAACTTTACATTTCACACTGTCAATCAGTAAGTTTGAAAAAAATTGTTTTAAAGTGAGGGACTTGAATAATGTTTTTAAAAGAACGTTAGTTGAAAAAAGGAGGTCTAGACAGCAAGGAATGGTGAAGAAATTATGTGTTTGCAGAAATGCCTTCAAATTTCTTACCAGTGCTGTTTGGTCCTAAAAATTAGGGGCCTCACTTTAGTTTTTCAAGAGGCAAGAACATACCTTTAGTTATTCTCTGATGTATTGCTTTGTATTATAAAGTGTCAGTGAAAAGTTATGGTTTTCCCTTCTCTTCTGACCTTAGCCAATAAGTGAAGATTATTTCTGATGACTAATGGAGCCAAGTAGGTAGTAGATGGTGAAGAGTTGATTCAACTAGAGTACTGATGTCTGTGGTGGGAAATTGAATGTGTTTAGTTATGAATTTTAGGAGATGACCACATATTGGGGACTTAAATACCTCAAGTTGGATTGGGGAATTAAGTTCACATATGTTGTATGATTAGATGTGTATGAAGCTGAAACGGGAGAATGCTTCCATTAGGAAAGAAAGTGGTAGATCCAGTAGTTTGTTGCTGGTTTAGGAAATATTAAGTCAGGTTAATCTGAAATAATAGGTTGGGTAGGATCTGGTACAGGGTGGAAAATTCACTTAGAAAAATGGTATTAATATCCTCTCAGAAGTCATTCTGAAAATTCTTTATTCATAAGGTTCAGATTTTTCTTATCCTGATTAGTAACTTAGTGATCCTGCATCAACTATGTTAGGTTTCTTATCTACAGTAAAAGAAGGTGGGAGATTGGTTCTGAGATGTGTTTGAAAACTCTGGGTCTTCCTGTGTAAATGGGGGTTAAATCAGTATCTGCTGCATTTGAATATTCTTTAATCATGCCCTTAACATGAACTTTACATAAATGTTTTAGGACATAAACTTGGTATTTCTTTCAGACCATTGCCTTCTGGGATCTTAAGTTCCACCATGTATTATTTTATGATAGGAAGGTAGCTGCTAAGGATCAAAGAACATTTGTGGAATCTGAAGCCTTGTCACTTAGCAGAGCCGGTTGTAGCCAAAGCCATTCAATAATCTCAGTTTTTTATATCTGCAGAGTAGAAGTGAATAATGCCTACTCATAAGGTTGTTATGAAGACTAAGGGCAACATAAAAGATAGGAAACTGTATTTATATTAGAATGAAGGGAATCATGGACACCTCCCACCCCTCTCCAAATCTCTAAACTAACGTATAGTAAAATGAAGAATGGTTGGTGTTTCTTTTTTAGATACCCTTTTTAATAGTTAATTCAACTTTTAAAAGTTGTATTATGGAACATTTAAATTCATAGTATAGTAAAATGAATCTCTATGTATTCATCATCTAGCTTCAACAGTAAATTCACAGCCATTCTTGTTTTACAGTCTCCCCAATTATCTGGAAGCCTTTCTCTGACTTTATCTGTAGATATTTCAATATATATCTGTAAAGATAAAACTGCTTTTATAAACATACCCACAATACCATGTATGCTTAAATAATATAATTCCTTAATCTCATTTAGCATCTGGTCAGTTTTCCACAGATTGGATTTTGTGCTGTTTAGCATGTTCTTCTGCCTTCTTGACAAGGGGTCTTCAAAAAATTCCTGGAAAGATTCGTATTATCTTTTAATTCTATTTTTCCATGAATTTTTTGAAGTACCTCCATATTTCCTGTCAGATGGTAGACAGATATGATCCCTTGACCTTGGTGTAATCAGCACCATGCTCTAAGCAAGTGAGCTTAACCAGCAGCCTCTATCTTTCTCATTTATTCTTATTTCGGGAACTTGGAGCCTCAGGAGATACCAAAAAGTGTTAAATTGGTTTTGGATAACAGGAAATAGTGTGATAGTTGAGTAAACACATCCTAAACAAAAGACCTGGTTCAGAAAGACTCTGGTTTTTGTTCAGTGGTGTTTGAAGACTTCATAATCAATAACTTATTACATACGGTTTATGAATAATACATTGTTTACATAACTCTAAGTCTGTTAAGTAAATATGCCAGCACGTCAGGAATAGAAAGAGAAATGAAATACGTAAGAACTCAACAGATCAAAGAAGGCACATGTATGACAAGCAAATATTAATAGGGAAATTAGTAGAGACTGCTATGTGTCCTGCAATGTGCTGGATTATTTCGTAGATGAATCGTGTTGCCTCAGAGGTTGTGAGCTCCCCTGTTAAGGTTTATAGAGCCTGGGATATTTTCACAAAGGGCTATATTTGAAATTGCCTTTGAGAATAAGTTGGAGGTTTTTAGGTAGACAGGTTGAGGGTTCAGCTCTAATAAGGATTAAGAGTTGTGAAGGTCCCTGGTGCATTTGGGGAGCAGCCAGCTGTAACTGGAGAAAATATTGGTTGTAAAGGGCTTCATGTGGCATGTGAAGGAGTGGTGTCTTACATGCAGTTATAGCTTACAAACAACCCCCTAGCTAGGAAAGTGAAACAGGAAAAAAAGATAATGTGTTAAACAGTTAACATTGTAAGTGTTGGAATGGAAAAGAGGTAAAGAGTATTTTTGAAGTAGAGTGGTCTTCGTGTCATTGGGTGAAAGTTAGGAAAGTAGGTGCTATAGAGAGTGGTCAAAAAGCTGAGATTTTATCTTTTATGTCTAGGTGGCAGATTATGCCATTTAAGGTTACATGAAAGGAGGTTGCAGGGTTTGAGGAGTTGTCAGAGTTTGAGGGAAAAATTAGTTTTGCTATTGGTATTTATCCTACAGTACTTTTTCAGGAACATACCCTGGTAGGCAGTGGAGGAAAGGAGTTGAGATGAAACCATTGACATGCAACAGATGAAAGAGGCAAACCATATATATTTTTTTAAAGACTAGTCAAGTGTGG